CTTGTTTTTTGGTCTTCTCTTTATTCTTTATTTCCTTTTCTGTCTTCCTCTAGTGAAGGCAACTTACTCCGGTAAAATGATTTAGTTTCTTTCTTTCTTTTTATAGGTTTTAGTTTCCACTTGGCTACAACATTTCTTCTTTCTGATTTCATTGCATTTTTTGTCTACTATCTAGAGTTGGATGTTTTGGTTGTTATTTTTTTCTTTTTCTTTTTATGTATATTTAATACTATGACTTTTCCTCTGGAAAAAAATGCCTTAGGTATATTTTATAATTTCTGATATTTTATATTTCCTCCTACTTGCTGTTAAGAAATTGTCTCTTTGTCTTAAATTTTTCTATTAATGTAAGAGTTGCTAAATAGCATGTTGCTACATTTCCAGCTTGCATTGCATTTTTAGGTTGGTTTTTAGCATCTAGTTTATTGCACTGTAGTAAGTGACTATTGCTTATGTTAATTCTATTTTTGGAAGTTATCAAGTATTTCTTTGAGGCATTGTGATGATTTCTCAAGTTCAGATATTTGAAAGAACTCACCAGACTTCATAGAACATACTTATTTTATGTGGAACATATAAAAATGCATAAAGGCTACTTATAAGGTCTTTATTTAAAGATAAAGGACACTGCAGCAAAAGAAACAGTGTAGATAAACACCAGGAGATCTGAGAGAAATACCATGCACAAATTCTGCAGTCCTTTTTTGCACACAGACTGCACTCTGTCTTTGGATTGTGCAACCACAATTTGTGTGGGGAATCTTCGCTTCAGGAAACATCAAAGAGTTACAACATTTCAGTCAGACAAAATGAATAAATTCCAGAGATCTATTGTACAGCATGGTAACTATTGTTAATAATAATGTATTTTATACTTACAAGTTGCTGAAAGTAGATCTTAAATGTTCTTATAACAAGTATATGAGTCAGATATGTTAATTAATTTAATTTAACCATTTTGCAATTTACACATATATCCAAACATCAAACATACTATCTTCCTATCTTTCTTCACGATGTGATGATTTTTTATAGTGATATGCCTTGATCCCTTTATTGTGTGTGTGTGTGTGTGTGTGTGTGTGTGAATCTACTACAGACTTTTTCTTTCTGGTTACCACAAGGCTTAAATAAAACCTATTATCATTATAATAGTCTATTTTAATCAGATAACAACTGCATACAAAAACTCTACACTTTGTATTTTTCTTCCCTCACATTATATCTTATTGATGCACAATTTATATCTTTTACATATTGCTTACCAATTAACAAATTATTATAGTTATGGTTATTTTTAATGTCATTGTATTTTAACTTTTTACTAGAGTTAAAACTGATTTATGCACTACCAATATGGTATTGAAATATTCTGAATTTGACTGTATTCTTATCTTTATACTGAGATTTATACTCTCATATGTTTTTACGCTATTAGCATTCTTCTGTTTCAATTTAAGGCATTCTTTTTAGCACTTTTGCTAAGGCAGGTCTAGTGGTGATAAAATCCTACAGCTTTTTTTCTGGGAAAGTCTTTATCTCCCCTTCATTTCTGAAGGACAGTTTTGCTGAAAATAGTGTCTTTGGTTAACTAGTTTTTTTTTTTTCTTTCAGCCTTTCAAATATATCATCCTTCTATCCTGGCCTGCAAGTTTTCTCATGAGAAGCCACTAAGAGTCTTACAAAGGATTCCTTGTATGTGATGATGAGTTAATTTTCTCTGAATGCTTTCAAAATTTTCTCTTTGTCTTCAACTTGAGAATTTGATTACAATGTGTTCATAGAAGGTCTTTTTGTATTTAACTTATGAAGTTGCTTGGGATTTGTGGATCTGGATGTTCATTTACTTCTACAGATTTGTGAAGCTTTCTATCATTATTTCTAAAAGAAAAAAAAAAGGCTTTCTGTCTTTTTCCCTTGCTCTGCTCCTTCTAGGACTCCCATAATATGTGAATTAATTTCCTTGCCAGTGTCTTATATGTCCTGTAGGCTTTCTGCATTCTTTTTAATTCCTTTTTCTTTCTTTTTTTTTTTTCCTGATTAGGTAATTTCAAATGACCTGTCTTCTAGATCACTAATTATTTATTCAGCTTGATTGAGTCTGCTATTGAAGCTCTCAATCAAATTTTTTATTTCAGTCATTGTGTTCTTCAGTTCTAGATTTTGTGTTTGGTTCTTTTTCAGGGTTTCTATCTCTGTTGAAATTCGCCTTCTCTTCCACCTAAGTGCGTGTCGCCACCGAGTGGAAGATTCGATGGACATGGACATGAGCCCCCTGAGGCCCCAGAACTATCTTTTTGGTTGTGAACTGAAGGCCGACAAAGATTATCACTTTAAGGTGGATAATGATGAAAATGAGCACCAGTTATCTTTAAGAACGGTCAGTTTAGGAGCTGGTGCAAAGGACGAATTGCACATTGTTGAAGCAGAGGCAATGAATTACGAAGGCAGTCCAATTAAAGTAACACTGGCAACTTTGAAAATGTCTGTACAGCCAATGGTTTCCCTTGGGGGCTTTGAAATAACACCACCAGTGGTCTTATGATTGAAGTGTGGTTCAGGGCCAGTGCATATCAGTGGACAGCACTTAGTAGCTGTGGAGGAAGATGCAGAGTCAGAAGATGAGGAGGAGGAGGATGTGAAACTCTTAAGTATGTCTGGAAAGCAGTCTGCCCCTGGAGGTGGTAGCAAGGTTCCACAGAAAAAAGTAAAACTTGCTGCGGATGAAGATGATGATGATTTCGATGATGATGATGATTTCGATGATGAGGAAACTGAAGAAAAAGTGCCAGTGAAGAAATCTATATGCAATACTCCAGCCAAAAATGCACAAAAGTCAAATAAGAATGGAAAAGACTCAAAACCATCATCAACACCAAGATCAAAAGGACAAGAATCCTTCAAAAAACAGGAAAAAACTAAAACACCAAAAGGACCTAGTTCTGTAGAAGACGTTAAAGCAAACATGCAAGCAAGTATAGAAAAAGGTGGTTCTCTTCCCAAAGTGGAAGCCAAGTTCATCAATTATATGAAGAATTGCTTCCGGATGACTGACCAGGAGGCTATTTAAGATCTCTGGCAGTGGAGGAAGTCTCTTTAAGAAAATAGTTTAAACAATTTGTTAAAAATTTTCCATCTTATTTTATTTCTGTAACAGTTGATATCTGGCTGTCCTTTTTATAATGCAGAGTGAGAATTTTCCCTACCATGTTTGATAAATGTTGTCGAGATTCCATTGCCAAGAATGTGTTGTCCAAAATGCCTGTAGTTTTTAAAGATGGAACTCCACCCTTTGCTTGGTTTTAAGTATGTATGGAATGTTATGATAGGACATAGTAGTAGTGGTGGTCAGACATGGAAATGGTGGGGAGACAAAAATATACATGTGAAAAAAACTCAGTATTTTAATAAAGTAAAAAAAAAGAAATTCTCATTTTGTTCATGTACTGGGCTTTCCTGATTTTGTTTAGTTCTGTGTTCTCTTGCAACTCAGTTTTTAAAAGATAATTATTTTAAATTTTTTGTCAGGCAGTTCATAGATCTTCATTACTTTGGGGTCATATACTGACACTTTATTTTTTGGCTTTGCTGGTGTTACTCTTATTATTATCATTGCCTTTCATGATTCTTGTGGCCTTATGTTTGTGCCTGTGCATTTGAAGAATTATGCACTTCTTCCAGTCTTTACAGACTAGCTTTTGCAGGTAAAACCCTTTACCAATTAACACATATAAGGATTCTGGGTATGCTGCCTGGCAGGGTCTATGAGCAGGCTTATTATGTGAGTCCTCAGGAGAGCTGGTTGGTGTCTGAGTTAGCAAGTGAAAGATCTTGGGGCCAGGTTGGTATCTGGGTTAGCAAGTGGAAGATCTTGGTGCCTGGGTCCAAGAGGGCTGGCCTGACAATGAGATGAGCCAGGTGCCTGGGTCCACAGGAATTGTCCTTGTCCTGAGTCCATAGGGGATGGCCTTATGGCAGGGTTTACAGGGGCATGCCTGGTGCATGGGCTCACAGTGGTGAGACTGGAGGCTAGGTCCATGTAGGCCATCTAGCACCAGAGTGGGCATAAAGCCTAAGCCCACAGTGGTGAATCTAGGTTCTGATCTGAAGGTGTCATCTTGGAATCTGGTCTGGAAGGGTGAGCCTGGAGTCTGGGTTCATGTGGACCAGTCCAGTGCTAAGGGCTCCTCAGGTGGCCTTAAACCCTGGATCCACTGAAGCAGGTCTGGAACTTGGTGCCAGTGGAAGATAGGGCTATAGGTGTCAGCCTGGATTTGGAATGGACCTGGAGCCTGGGCCTGTGGGGGTTTGTATAGAGCCTCAGTCCACAGGAGCTAATATGGCACTAGGGCAAATCTGGAGCATGGGTTTGCAGGTGATCGCCTGGAGTCTGGGTCTACAGGGAGTAGCCTGAATCCTGAGGCCACAAGGGAAAGTCTATAGTCTGGATATTGGAGGCCAGATTGATGGTTGGCTCTCTAGGTGAAAACCTAGAGCCTAGGTCCATAGGGGCAGGCCCAGAGCCTTATAGAGGATAGCCTGCTACTGGGGTTCATGGGGCCAGGGGATTGTCTATATGGGGTCTGTGGTGACATTGAGTGTTGATTTCACTATCCTTACCCCATGCAGAGGGTATCTCTCTCCATGTTGTACTGCCTGGGCTTGGGGGAGGAGTGATATGGGTAATGTGAGACTATTCTTCCTACCCTCTTCTATCCATCTTTTCTTGTTTGTGTACTCCACTAAAGTTTTGTAATCTCTCACCTGTATTTCTTAGCCCTTGTCTAGGTGTTTGCATGGATAGATAGTTGTTTAAATTGATGTTTCTGCAAGTGGTGATCATTTGAGTGTCCTACATGATCATCTTGCTAGTGGCTTTCCCATTAGGTTATTTTAAATACATTATATTTCTCTGTTAAAATTATTTATATTTTCATCTTGTCCATCTTTTTCTCTCATTTAATATATCTTCATAGTTATTTCAAAGTCATTATGTCATAATCTCAACATCTGGATCATCTGGGTTCTGCTTCTATTACCTATTTTTTTCCTGATTCTTCACATCACATAAATTTTTATTATATTCCCAACACTGTAGAAAGCATTATCTTCCCCTAGAGGGAGCACACTTTTTTCTTTGTGAAGTAGTTACATGGAGGACTTCATCACCAAGATCAAATCAGATTTGAGCAGGGTCAGGACTATTTTGAAGCTTTGGTTGGTTGAAGTTCAAAATGTCTGTCTATGGCAAACTTGTTCTTCTATCAACTGTGAAAAGTCTTGGTAGACATCTTTAAAGTTCCTACTGATCTCTGCTCACCTCAAAAGGAGTCTTCCTTTCTGGAATTTCAGTTTCTTTTCATTTTGAATCCACACATTTTTAAAATATTTAACTATTTATTATTGAATCCATCTTTCTCGTTATTTCAAAGTCATACATTGTTTCCAACAACTCTCCACATTATAACCAAAAGCCAAAAGTATAGTATTCATTTCTGAAATGTTTTCTACAAGGATTTTTGAACGTATCTCTTACAGTGTTTTTTGTTTTCTAGCCATCTCCATTCTAAGTTTTTCCATACATTTTTCTCAAATTGTATTTAACACAGCCAAACGCTAAGCTAAAACATATCTTTTAGATTGATTATAGTTTGATTGAAGAGCTACTGTTTCTAATACTACAGAGTGTGTTTATTCTGAACTATTTGCTAATGATACAAGTTAATAATACAATGCCTCATTATTTCTGAATTCTTTCCTATGTGTTTCCTAAAAGCAGGGAAATTTTTTTCATATAACCACAATACAATCATAAAAATTACAAAATTAGTATTGACAAATTACTATCATGTAATCCACAGACCCTATGCAACTTTTATCAACTTCCCAGTAATATTTTTCATAGCAAAATAATTCAATCTAGAATCATGATATTGCATTTATTTGGAAAGTCTCTTTAGTCTCCTCTAATCTGGAATAGGTTCACAGTCTTATTTTTATGGCCTTAATACTTTTAACAGTTATAAACTAGCATTTTATGTAATTCCCCCCAAATTGGGAATGTCTCAGCCTGATTAAATGCAGACTGTAGATCTTTGACCAAAATTTCACAGAAGTGGTGCTGTGTTCTCAGTGCATTCTATCTAGGATCATATAATTTTATCTCTTTACTAGTGATGTTAATTAATTATAATTAAAATGATTTCTCTTCTATTGAGTTACTCATTTCCCCTTTGTAATTACTATTTTTTGGTAAGGTTGTCAGATTTTGTCAATGTCCTGGTATCTTTCACTTTTCACCAATAAGTTTTATCACTTAATAGTGTTATCATCTGTTAACACTAACAAGATAGTGATAATCTTAGCATTTTTGCCTGAATTAGTGAATTATTTCTTAGCATTCTTGTCAGATGGTAATTTTCCAATTTCAATACTCCTTCTATGTTTATTAGGAGGAATCTAATTTATTAGCTGGCAATCTGTTGTAAGGAAAAGTTTTCTCCTCTCCTTATTTACCTGTTTTATCACATAAGTATAAACCCATCATTCCTATTTTTTTCAATGAGTTATATTGATCATTATCACTTTTTTGCTCAATTTTGGCCAGCGAGGGTCCCTTTAAGCTTGATTCAATATCCTTTCAGCATTTCCATCATTCTTTGAACACTTCCTTATTTCAGCCCTGGCCTAAATATTCCAGGCTCATTTTGTATTTTCCCTGCAAGCAGCCCTACCTAGTTCTCTTTAATGGAAAGGATATTTAGAAATCAAACTACGGGTGCTAGGTGTGCCCATTGCTATTGTGGTGTCACTGCTCTATGTCCACTCCATGTTCAAAGCTAGAGAACACATCTTCATACAGAGACATGTGTTCTCTAGCTTCTCTGATAACCTCAGTCTTTGTACCCTGCTCAATTTTGTTTCTACTAACAGTTCCTTTCTTCCTAAGGATCAAGCTCTATTTTGTGAAGAGGAATTTTAGTGACATATTTCTGTATATCTGAGATATCTGAGGGCTTAGGGAACCCTGGTGGTACCTGATTTTGTCTATGGCACTTTCCCTTTGCTATACTAATGTTATGTCTTTTTGTAAAAAGATTTATGGAGGCTCATAAACTATATTGCTGCCTCCAATGTGTCCTAACTGAAAGTTCACAGTACTATGTTGATAGTTCTAAGCAAAGCCTTTTAAAATTAACCCAAGAGTTCTAAAGCCTTCACCTTCAGCCTTCATGACTCACAGCCTCTTTTCAGTTGCTGTTCACAGCAACAGGGAGCTGATTCCCTGACTGAGGGACAGGGGGCAGGTTACCCTGCCCCAACAGATCTGCATTAAAACCACAGTATTTCAGCAAATAGTACACTAAAAGCCCAGACTAATATATTTCATGTGACACAACTGCATTTATATACATAAATACACACACACACACACAAATTTTTGAGAGAGCGTCTCACTGTCACCCAGGCTGGAGTGCAGTTGTACAATCACAACTCACTGCAGACTCAATCTCCTGAGTTCAAGTGATCCTTCCACCTCAGCCTCTCAAGCAGCTGGAACTACAGTGCATGCCATTATGCCCAGTTAATTTTTGTATTTTTTGTAGAGATAGGGCTTCATCATACTGTTCAGGCTTGTCTTTAACTCCTGAGCTCAAGCAATTCACCCCACTTGGCCTCCCAAAGTGCTGGGATTACAGGCATGAGCCACCAGGCCTGGCCAAGAGAAATAAATTTAAGAAAAAGAAAAATAAAATTTTCAATTAATTATGGATCATTTAAATAATACACAAAGAAGGACCGAGCAACATAGTGGAATAGAAGCCTGCAGGAACACCAAATTTTAACAACTATATGCTCATAGAAAAGCACCATCACCAGAACAAAAATCAAGTTATTTGAACAATCACAGTACCTAGTTTTATCTTTATATCATTGAGAGAGGCATTAAAAAGGGTTAGAAGAGACAGCCTTGAATTGCTGAAACCACCATTCCCCCATCCTCTGGCAGTGCCCATGTGGCACAGAGACCCTGTGCACTTGGGGAAGTGAGAGCACAGCAACTGGGGGACTTGGCATTGAACTGGTCTGCCCTGTCACAGAGGAGAGTAAAGCCATTCTGGGCTTGGCCAGCACTTGTGCACAGAGGGAAGAATTTTGACCAACCATAGCCAGAGGGGAATCACCCATCCCAGCAGCTAGAACTTGAGTTTCTCAGCAAGACTTGCCACTGCAAGCCAGAGTGCCCTGGGGGCCTAGGTAAAACTGAAAGGCAGTCTAGGATACAAGGACTGCAATTTCTAGGCAACTCTGGTGCTGGGCTGGGCTCAGAGCTAGAAAATACCATGAATCATTGCATTTTTAAAACCTACTGCCAGCGTCTTCATTCTGTCCATTTAAACCAATTAATCAACCCTGAATGAAAGAATCTATTTTGTATTTCTCAAGATGTTAAAGTATTGTATTCGTCCTAATATTAAAAATTTAGGAGACATTCCATCATACATATATTGAAAGTATGTTTAATTTATTTTTAGATATAAATATTTAATTCTACTTATGTAAATACAATATTATACAAACTAATGAGGTGTCATAATCCTGGATGTCAATAGGAATGAGATTAAACCTGGGATAATACTATATGTGTGAATATAATTATAAGCTAAAAAAATACATATCATAGTGCGTGTAGATTCGAATACGTAGGATGGCTAAAATGGTTTTAAAAATGTAAAACTAAAGTCAACCAATAATAATTCAGGGATTAATTTTTTTATTTCATAACTTATAAGACTACAGTGATGATCTGAAACTCATCTCTCCTTAGCATTTTTTGTTACAGGGTTGTGTCAATAGATGGAAAACAATCAGCTTTTATCAATGGGTGTGTTGAATACAAGGTAATATTTGAATATTTTTGAGGGCTTGGCATCCCTCACATGCTATCTTAACCCATTCTCTAGCACTACAGCAGAACTGCGTAATTTATAATGAACAGAAATTTATTCAGCTCATGGTTCTGGTGTCTAAAAATTCCAAGAACGTGATGCTGGCATCTGATGAGGGCCTTCTTACTACATCATAACACGGTGGAAGAACAAGCAAGCACACAAGACAGAGAGAAGAAAGCAGGCCAAACTCATCCTTTTGATCAGGAGCCCACTCCTGCAATAACTAACTCACCCCCATGCTCACAGCTTCAATCCATTCATGAGTTCAGCACCTCTTAAATGCCGCACCTCCCAATATCATTACATTAGCAATTAAATTTCGGCATGAATTTTGGAGGGGGCTATTCCAACAACAGCACATGCCAACAGACAGAGTAACTGGCCAACACTCAGCCAAGTGTGATCAGGGGAAGATAATTAGAAACTTTGTAGCTTAAGCTATGTTGTCAGGAGCAGCTGTGTAGTAGTTTCCCAAAAATGGTGACAGGCACTGTGACTCTCACATCTAGTACACTGACTATTTCTTTCATGTAAGTCAGAGAATGCTTTATAATTTCACACTGACTTTCCCAAACCCCTTCTTAATATAAGTCTTACCTACAACTGCCCACCCCCCACCACATCAAATACTTTCCTACTCTCCTCTCAAATCATTCTCCCAAAATTTCTGGTAACTTTTTCCCTATTTTTATCCAATCTGCTTTCTCCTGATCTTCCCCCAGAAGCTCTACCATAAAAGTACTTTGCTTCCTTTGAAAGATACTTTAGAATTCCAACTTTAGCTCAGGTTTAGCATTAGAACTTAAGGGCAAGTGGAGACTGCCAGGCGGTACCAGGTAGCAAAGACCGAGGAATCCAACCTGCAGGCAAGAGTTGAGGTTTTTATGACCTAGATATTTACCCTTTCCTGTTAATGGAAACATGGACACTGGAAAGACAGAGCTTCCGAAGGTAAATATGCTGGAATAGAGAAGAGAGTGGTTTGAGGGAAAATGTAAGATGATGGTATTACCATTGGATTTTTAAAAAGCCGGGGCCAAGACTACAAGGAGATAAAGTTTAACAACCTTAATCATTCCTAATTCAATGGACCATACACTATCTCATTTTGAGCCTCTGCTCCAAGAATTCTTGTAATATCTGGATTATCTCTGCCAGTATTACACCTGTTGTGATTAATGCAGCAAGTTGTTTCTCTCAGGAGGTCGTGGAATTCTTGGAACATTCCCTCATCACAAGGCCTGCAAGACAGTGTTGTATAACGAAACAGATATCTCCCTAAAGGGAAGAAAAGCAAATATGGTCAGCTTGCCTCATTCCATCATCTTTCTATCAACAGCCTCTCCCTAGAAGCTCCTCAATTTTCTGTGGACTGCAATAAGCCCCCAAACTGTGTCTGCACCTTGTTTGTGTTTCTGTAGCCACCCTCTCCCATGACTCCAGATTCCCTCCACTCCTTGGCTCCCAGGATTGTGGGCACCACTGGTGACATTTTGTGTCTCTCTGTAACCCCTCACCTACCTGAAGTGGGATCATTAAAGTAATAGTTATCTGTGGCACAACTCCTGTTTGTCAAAAGTACATTAAACTTCCAGCAACTTTTCATGCCACCCTGGCAAATGAATCCATCAAAGTGTTTACAGAAATTGCAATGTCGAATCCCTAAAAAAGAGATGCAATTTAAAGGACAGCAGTAGGGAAAGTGACTGTGCTTCAGAAGTCTGTCCCCACCTGGAAACATTTATATCGGGGTGGTGCAAACCTCATGAGAAGAAAGTTGACACTACTCCCAGCCTCCATTAGGGGCCCTTACTCCCTTGATTGGGTAACAGCTATGAACCCCAAAGAAGTCAGGGACCCTCTCAAGTCTAGGAAGGAAAGAAGACACTGGAGTATTGAGTGGGGAGAGGACAATGTGTAAAGAACGCAAGAATCTCTCCCTCATTGTGGCATTATTTGTCCAAAAGTGACAAACCAACTACACCGTACATCTCCATGTCAGGACTCTGTCTCCTGTGAAGAGAAGAAAAATTGTCCATAAATTATTTTACAGCAGCCCCAAAAGCCAAGTGTAGAAATCCCTTTCTCCCTCTCCATACATGCTCTCACCACCCATTCGTGGGTCCCTCTTCAGAGCTCACCCTCATCCATAAAAAGCACTAGGACCATGCCCAGCAGAAGCAACCGGCACATCCTGGGGCCTGTTCCTAAAAACACCCCAGTGGGAGGTTCCAGCAGTATTTATTCTCATCACCTGCCCTCAGGCATCCCACTGGAATCACATAATCATAAATTTCAGCTCAAACCACCTGAATCTGCTCTACAACGTTCCCAGAAGAGGGTACATCCTGTTTGCATTTGCATTCCTCCAGCTACTTGGAACTCAGCCCACCCAGACATCCCATTTCATTTTATGATAAGATATTAATACATATTGGCATAGAAGCTCTTTGTTTGTGTTTTCATATGTTGGTCTACATAGAACATCTCTAACTCCACATCCACATGACCCCCCTTCATCTAAGCATCTGTGAAAGAGTTCGTCCTTTTCAGGCACTACAACCTTCCTGGATTATCACCTCGGCATGACCTCCAGTGGAACTTTGACCCTCACAGTGAGGCATCAGGAACAGAGTCAATACTCCAGATATAGTCTGTCTCCCACTGTAGAACACATTGTTGATGGATGAGATGAATAGGACAGGCCAGGATAAAGTGGGGAATATGTGAAGACCATCTCAGCTTCTCCTGTGCTTTATTCATCCATTTTTTTTCAAGGGAGACAAAGATCATAAATTATTCCAGTGGGAGAAATTTACACTGCTGTTATGGTGACAAAAAGGAAGATCTATTTGGATTGGTCTTTGGAAAGGGTACATAGAAGGGAAGTTAGGGAAGGCTGGAGATGAGTTTTTCTATTGGTTCCCTGACTTTTCCTTACTTCCTCCAGAAGATGTCATACTTTCCTGCCACCCCTCTTTCTGCTCTCAGCTGCCACTTTCTCCATGAGGCATTTCTTGACCACCATATACATAAAAGACCAAAACTCCCTAACCGCACTTCCTTGTCCCTTCCCTCCTTGGTTTTTCTCCAGGGTACTTAACTCAATTTGTGCACCTATAACTTTTCCTTATGTGTGTGCATGTTGTTTCTCTTCCCTCACAAGATGAAAACTCCACAAACACCCAGGTTTCAAGTGTTGCATTCACTGCTTTCTCCATAGTACCTATAATTATGCCCTGCATACATCAGATCATCAGAAACATTTTATAAAAATATTAATGGTGTGACTGGATACAGGTAACCTGAGAGGCACAAGGGAAGGGTACAAAAGTCTTTCTATTGACAGTCTCTAATTCCACTTGATATGATAAAATTCCTAGCCTTAACCTTGCAGTTAGCAGTCACTACAGAGAAGGCAGGCAATGGTAATGGCAGATTCCCTTGTGGTGAATACAGAGTGGGGGTGGGGCCCATTTATCTGAGTGGACTCATTCCCATTGCTCAATATATACTGTGCTACGTGTCAATTACAATCCTTCACATAATCCTATGAAGGTACTCCCCACACACCTAGGATGGATGTCCAAGTATGCTACCCACTTGCTGTGTGACCCTAAATATGTTAATTAGCCTCTCTGTGCCTCTGTGACCTAATAGATAAAAATAAGGACCATCACAGGTATATCTGAGGTAGTTGTTAATAAATTTACACATAGGGAAGGGGAGAAAACAAACATTTGTTAAGGCTCTACTTGACACTAGACATTCTTCTGGGAATGTTACTCACTTGATCTCTTTGAATTTTCTGAACTACCTGGCGGGCTGAAAATGATTGACCTCATCTTACAGATGATGACCAAAGATTCTTGAAGTTGAAGTGTTCTTCCTAGGGTAACAAGGTGTGCATCTGATTAAATAGGACATTATCTGTTCATTTCACCACAAGGTTTACAGTCTGGAGAGGGGTTCCTAGAGCTGGAGGTCCAGGTGAGTCTCCTCTAGAATGACCAGGACAATGGGGAAAGAGGTAGAATGAGTAAGAAAAGGGTCTCAAAAGAAAAATGGGTCTCTCTCTGTCTGGCAGAGACAACACTCATCAGCAAAAGCCCACTGAGACTAAGGGTCCCAAAGCATGGCTAGGATCCAGCATTTATGTGCCGTCATCAGAAAAGCAATTCCCATGGAGACCATCTTTATGGGTCTTGCATTTAGAACATGTGAGATACAGGCAGCAACCCATGGCCATAAGCCCCAGAGGGTCTGAGCTAGGAACACCAAGTATGGGCCTCCAGGCCTTTTTCCTGGCCTAGGAAGATACTCCTGCATAATGACCTGGGCACCCAATTATTAAACAGGTGGGTGTGAATCAGAGTCTCCACCTAACCCAAGTCTTCCTTGTATAGTTCATCCAAGGCATTTTGAATAATGTTTTCCCAGAATAAAAATAACAGAAATTTTGAAGATATTTTAAACTTGTTAATAGATAAGTGAAAATCCCCATTGTGCCCCTAATTCTAAGCCCATCATGTGAAAAACCCCTGTGAAAAAGCTGATGCTCCCGTCCTGACTTCTAGACTCAGCCATGGCTTCTGCCGGCTGCTCAGCCTATCAACATCTCTCACTCTACCAGCCTAATACGGACTGCAGAAAGGCCTTGGACACCTGGGGCCACCTCTCCCTCCCAGAGAAAGGAGGCTGTGTTGTCCAACTTGCCCGTTCTTCCCCACCTTTCATAACTGAGCCTCCAGAACTTTCCCAGCCCTGCCCCAAGTCCTCTCTTGGGGCCTAGAGCCTGTACCTTCTCCCCTCCATGCCTGGCTCCTGCCCAAAGCTTTGACATTCCTCTCTGCTCCTTCCCATACCAGGAGTTGTAGGCCATGCTGCCCTGCCCCTCCCTGTCCTATCCTGTTTTTCTCCTGTCCTGCCCAGAAACACAACCTGTACCCATCCCTTATCTCCCTACAGAGAGAGGAGAAGATGGTAGATTTGAGACCAAATTAAGCTCCTTATAGTCAGCCCAGAGTTGTGTTTACTTTGCCCCTTTAGGGAAACAAAGGAAAACAAAATAAAAACGAAAGTCCCCAAAAGAAAGTTTCCTGCACTCAGCAAGATACCACTTCTGCCAACTTCAAAGGAGCAGTGCCCCGGTCCTGCTCAGCAGAGACCCAGAAAGCAGAATCACCACGGATCCAGTGAGTCAGCAAGAAGGCAGAGACTGGCTTGATGGACGAGCTCTATTACAGCCTCCTCACAGGCAGAGAAAGGAAGCATGTGGCCAGGGTGTGGTCATGTTTCTTCTCCATGCCATCTAATCTGTATCACTCCCAGACCTGACAGGAGTTGGGGGGACTAGATAACTAGGTCTCCTGGCACTTAGGCCTGCCTCAGACCCAAGCTCGCTCTAGCAGCCAAGAGCAACCCAGGACATTGCCTGTTTTGATACCCCTGAGAAACCCTTGAACTGCCCCCATCCCGATCTGTTTCATGGCCAATCCACATCACCCTGCTGACCAAGCCCCCTTTACCCTCCTCTTAACTTCCCTCCAAACTTTCTAGCCTCAGACAGCCTTGAAGGTACCATGGAAGGTGTCATTTTACCATATGCATATAAGAGAGGAGTTGGGCATAGAAGCAATGTAGCCCAATGACTCGATTTTACACATAAGAAACAGGGCTCAATTAAAATGTCACCCCCAATACATACACAGAGGAAAACCACCTTCCATGTCTTCATACTTCTCAGGCCAGTGACCATGTTGGCAGGTGATGGAGGAATGTAGTATGAATGGGGCATCAGATAAGAATTCTGGGCCAGGTGTGGTGATTCACACCTGTAATCCCAACACTTTGGGAGGCTGAGGTGGGTGGATCCCAAGGTCAAGAGATCGAGACCATTCTGGCCAACATGGTGAATCCCCATCTCTACTAAAAATAAAAAATTAGCCAGGCCTGGTGGCACATGACTGTAATCCCAGCTACCTGGGAGGCTGAGGCAGGAGAATCGCTTAAACCCAGGAGGGAGAGGTTGCAGTGAGCCGAGAACATGCCGTTACACTCCAGCCTGGGCAACAAGAGCCAAACTCCATCTCAGAAAAACAAGCAAACAAAAAAAAAAGAATTCTGAGTCACTTCCTTCCATTAGTTCAGTTCCTGACACATGCCCGGCATAGGGCATAACTTACTGAACTTGGTGAAAGGAGCCCCATAGCCCTGCTCCTATGACTTTGCCTCACCTGAGTCACCAGGATGTCAGTCTCTGAGGGTGAGAGGGCATTCCCCTGAGTCCCTCCCTCCAGCCTTATTCCAGTTCGCCAGCCTCCTGCCTTCCATGTGTGATGGTAGCCCATCACCTTTGGGAGTGATGAGCATAGGGATGGGGGATTCCTGAAAGCCACCCCCAAACAGCAGTTCTCAAGCTGTTTTCCATGGCTGCAGCTTCAGCAGACCTCCTCACCTGCCCTTCCCACTGCAGGCTGCTGGGACACTGACAAGTCAAGCTGGAGAGGAGGGACTGGATGCTGCAGCTCCCTAGCTGTGACCTCTGCCTGTTCTCTCCTGCCTGAGAAAACCTTTGTGTAAAACACATAAGAGTGATAACATTGACCTTAGGTTCATACAAATGTGTTTTAAAGTTATTCTGGGAAAAGGAGGGCCCACTGCCATGCAACAGAACTTTATGGGATTCATTATTTCTATTTCACCAAGTAAAAGTGGACCAAGTACTCTGCCATCTATTCTCCCAAAGGCCAAAACACAAGGACATAACTGATGTAAAATCATGAAACACTTAGTATTTGGGATTCCCAGGAGCCACACAGACTAACCACACTAACCAGAGGGTAGGTCTTCGCTCAGCACTGGCCACTCTCAGAGGTCACCTGTTCAGGGAGGGGAGTGAACCAGGGCCTACAGCTGATGCTCTTGCATAGGAAGGGAAAGACCTGGCAGTGGGCTCAGCTGCAAGAGCGAACTCTTAAAGGTCAACTGCCACCACGGAAGAGATTTTGCTTGTGTGTTGGAGTGGGCAGGAGATCAAGAACAGTTTCTTCTAGGTGGCCTTTGAAGTCAGGGGCTGCAGTCCAGAACAGATTGGTTTCTCTCAGATGGGTGAGCAGCTAAAAAGTTAGCTGAACTTTGATTCACTGAGATAGAGTAAGAGCTCAACCTCTACAACCCAGAGGAACCTAATGACAGATGTATATTCAGAGGCTTTTGTAGATCCTGAGAAGGAGCTCCACTAAAGGTTATGGGGATGCTCACCTTGTATCTTTCCCCCATCCACAGGCCTCCTTCTCTTGGGGATTTTCTGGGAGCCTCCAAGTGTTTTTCCATATTCCAAACTCTTAGACATAAGTGGTTTTCTTCTAGGAGAATGCCTATCGGGGCTGGCCCAGGAGTATTAGAGGAGAACCTGTTCTCAGACCAAACCCAGAGTCAAGCACAATCACCAAGATTTAAAATGCTAAGTCAGTTCTACCAGTCCCACTGCTTTTCCAAAGGCCTTATCTTGAGTCCTCTCATATCTTTCAATCTTAGGAAGACAAACCCACACATTCTTAACTCTTCCCATAGCAAGTGATTGAAAGAGAGCATCAAGGTCAGAGAATGGCCCTGAACCCAAAAGGGCACAATCCTTAAATGTTGTAATAATGACATTATTAAACCCACTGTGCTACTTACCCTCCTGGGCCTCACCTAATGATACTGTTACAACCCCTGCTTTTTCTCCCTGCCTCTACCTTCCTGACCTTTCTTTCTTGACAGGGCTTTTCTCTCTAATTAATACATACTTTTCCCACTGAATCCAGGGTGCAGCAAAGGTCGGATTAAAGACAGTGTTTGTCTTGTCTGCTCAACTGCAGCCAGAGGGGAAG